CCCTATAATCACTTTTATTTGACAAAAACAGAGGCAGCACTTACCATATGCCAGGCACTGAGAGCTACATTGGTACCAACTCATTTCACACCCCAACAGCCCTGTAGTGGGTGCTACTATTAATCCCCTTTTGCAGATGAGACCACTGAGGCACGGGAACATTAGCTGACGTGCCCCAGGCCACAGGTCCCAGAGGTCATGGGCTTAGCCACCGCACTGCCTGCTGCCATTTGGGCAACTATTATGTGCCCGGGGGGTTTACAGGTGGTGTGAAGCCCAGAGCTTTCTCATCGGGAATGTGGTCTTGCGAATGCAGGATCTGGAAGGCTATTTCTCGAAGTATTCTTTGGTCATTCCAAGACAGCAGGGAGGGGCAGAGAGAAGCCCTTCACGTGCGCTCAGGAGGGAAAGAGTGATGCCAGAATGGAGGCATTCCGTGCTGATGGTTTTTCTAGAAATTACTATTAACTGTTCACAAACATCTGCAAACAACAGATTTTACTGCAAACCCTAGAAACTGTCAAAATTAGTTCTGAAATGTTTTCTTTTCTGGATTTGGGGTAGTATGTGAAGAAATGGGTGCGTGTGGATGTGTTTTATGGAATTTTTTCCCCAGGTGTTTATTAAGAAGTGGGAGATTGCATATGGCTTATTTAGAAAGTCAGGTGTGGCCTCCATCTGGTACTAAGTTCTGGGCCACCTGCTGCACAGTGGGTGCCCACCCCTTCCTCCCCGTGGACTGTCTGCAGGAGCGAGCCAGGGGGCATCTCAGGGCCTGCTGTGGCTCACTGGACCCCCTCCTTAAGTCCTCACCCAAATGGGACCGTGCCCACCTCCACATCCATTTCTGTCCCAGATTCAGAGAGGTGCAGGCACCGGCCTGATGAAGCGGCCAGGGAGTGGCAGTGCCGTAAGCTGACCCCCAGTCCTTGCCCCCCCTTAACCTCCCCTGAACGTGAGGGTCGGTGAGTCACCTTTGCGTGCTTCCAGTCCCTGCGACCTCCGTAGCCAGAGGCAGCCTGGGGGACGTCTCGGCCGCGAGAGCCGTGGTACCTACAACCATCCCCGGAGCTAAGGCAGGTGAGCACCAAGCTCCTTGCACGTGCGTTGTGTGGGGAAGAAGTGGGCAAGGTGAAGGCCAAGGTGAATGGGAAAACTGCCCTTTGTTCCGGAGAGAGCTAACTCTCCTCTAGTCTTCTAGTTCTTTCTCCATGTGTCTCCTAAAAACGAACCGGTATCGAAATAACACAGTCTTATCGTTCTTTCTTCTAGGTCATCTTAAACGTCCCGAATCTTTGCCATTACCTGATGCTGCTGATAAAACCAGGATGGCTTTAAACTCAGTAAGTGGTTAATTATTACCTTCCCAGACTTCTCTTTGTTTCCTTATCCCCACTGTGATTTTCCAAAGTGTGTGCTGGGCGGCATTTTAAGCCCTGGCTGCAGGGACAGCGAGTGCTCTGTGGATGCTGGTCACGGCGCTCTCTCAGGTAGGGTGCGTGGGAGCGGGTTAGGGTGCAGACACACCACAGCTGCGCCCGCGGAGAGCGCCCCAAAGCTGTCGGGTGGGTGTAAGGTATGTGCACTGCTCATACCTGGGCCTCTTCTCTTCCTGCCCTGCGGGTGAGTTTCAGGGTGAGCAGTCGGGACAGCCAGGGGCAGAAGGGTGCTGGGAGGGAGTAAGTCCCAGGGGAAAACAGGTGTGTGGGGCATCACCGGCCGGCAGACCCCTGCGCAGCCCGGTGTCCTGATAAACTGGGGGAGGCCGTGATGGAATGTAGCATTGGGCTGACTGTCCCTCTCCCTGGATGCTCCCCAGCCCTGCAATAACTCTGGAGACAAATGCAGTATCTTTGTTCCCCATTATATCTCACTGGTTCATCTTATCCCTGCGAATGGGTGCATGCAATACAGAGTTGTGGTCAATAACGAATATTTTCCATATCTTGTATCTGGAAAAGAGCCCTTTTGTTTTTCCTTCTTTAGCAGTTGCTGGTTTTTAATTTTCACTGGTTCCATTTTAAATTGCATATCCCCTGCACAGGGCTTCGCCGGGACAGACCGCCGTGCCTGCCACAACCTTTCCTGGATGGGACAGCATGTTCTTAGATGCTTCCGATAGAGACCAAACCCATGTGCTCTTTTTCTTTTGGCCTTTGGTGCCCCATTTAGATTAGAGATTACACTGTTTCCCTTTCTGTCCACTGCTCTGGTTCAGAGTTACAATCTTTGCACTTCTGAAGGAGAGCATCGGTGAGTTATTAAGCAGAGGTTAACTCTGGCCGCCGGCACTTGGCTCATTCCGGTATAATCTCGCTTCCCTGGAGGCCCCCCCTTTAAAATGCTAAGCATTGCGTTGCCTCGGCTCAGAATACCGGCCCTGTCCTGAGACCACGGTCAACAAGAAGCAGGAGGAGAAATGAATGAATGAGTGGGAAGAAGTTTGAGGGGCCCTCAGATAGGAGGGCAAATGTGGCCTCCCCACATGGCCCCGCCAGTGGGTGATTGGGGAGGGCGGAAGCAGGGGACATGCAGGCTGGCCGGCGGGGGTCTTGCAGGGGCAGCCAGAGAAGGCAGTGTTTAAGTGGGCAGAGGGCGAGGAGAAGGGTGTTCAAGGAGATGGATGAGGCAGGAATAAAAGCTGTAGCTGGGGCAGCACTTTCCATGTCGTGTGCGCAGAGACCCGGCAGCTCCCTGCAGAGGCGCTCGTGCCTTGGGAGGATGCTCCTCACAGCAGGACTGCGCTGCAAACCCTTTACATGTCCCGTAGTAAATGGTGACACGTCTCCTAAGGGAGGAGGAGGTAGAAAAGGAACTTTTAGAATAACATGTATAGTATGAACCTTCAGGTAAATTTTTTAACCTCTATCACTCAACGTTCTTCTCTGCAAAATGGGTCCATGAGTCACGCCTGCACCTTCGTAGGGGTGTGGTCGGGTCTCCAGGAGGCCACGAGTGCAGACGCCTGGCGGCCCCTCGACCATTACCTTTCTCGCTGTAATCTCCATCTCAGGGTTTGGGTGTCAACTGCTGCCCAGACTTCCACACATTTTTTTCTTTAAATTTTTTAAAAAATTTTTTTAGTAAATCTCAGTGTTGACCATTTACTTTCTCTTTATTTCAAAAAATGATCAGTGAACAAACAAACGCAAAAACCGTTGACAATTAATTGAAAGTTCTGGTTTAGTCAGTCTGGGTAAGTTCAGAGAAGAATCTGCAGCAGCTTTTCGGCCCCTTGTCTAAGTGTGACGGACACGCGCCTAACCTTGAAGGTAACCGGGGTTTTATATCATGCACCTTCTCTGTCATTGTTTAGGGGTCACCGCCAGGAGTTGGACCTTACTACGAAAACCATGGATACCAGCCTGAAAGCCTCTATCCCCTGCGGCCCGCCACGGTCCCCAGCGCCTACCCGGTGTATCCGGTCCCGTACTACCCATCCGAGGGGCCCCAGTCCACCCCAAGGGTGCTGACGCACACTTCGACACCCACCATCCGCGTGCAGCCCAAGTCCCCATCGGGGACGGTGTGCACTGCAAGTAGGACCCTTTTGCATTTCTTTCCTACAACAGAACTGGCGCTGGGGTCTGTCTTCTCCAGGGGGCTCTGTCCTCTGTCGCTGACTGCCCTCCTCCCTCTGCTGGGGCTGGTCCCATGCTCTCCCCCTCTCCCTCGATGTCCCAGCTTTCACCCTCTTGCCTCCTGCCTGGGGCCCTTGGAGAGCTGCCAGGCTGCAAAGCCCTTCCTTCACTTTCCTTAACTCTCCTGGGCCAGCTTGGCCCGTACCACCCAGGGTGGTCTTCCATGGTCTTCCAAGCCGGGCCTCTCTGCCCTGTTCTTCCCGGCGTGGCTTGTCGGTGCGTCATCCTGAGTGAATGGTAAGCTCCGATGCGGGAGTCACCTACCCACCCTTTCTTTGTGGCGTGGTTCCCTGGACACAGCAAGTCACGCTTAAGGTGCTGGACGAGGGCGGCTTGGCGCTCAGCAAAGGAAGTGGCTGGTGTGGTTGGCACTCGGAAGGATGTCTGGGCTTTAAGGGTCTCGTGGACAGAGCAGAGTGGGCGTAGAGCGGGTGAGGGCTCCAAGGACTGATCCCTTCAATGCCACGTGCTTCTAACTCTTACTCATCTCCTTTCTTCTTGCAGTCCTCCCAGCTTTTTTTAAAATTTTTTTAATTGTTATTTTTTTCCCAG